TGGACGGAAATTATAACACTCTGCAAGGGTATAAAAATAAAAAAAATGGAACCAAAAATACAAACCAAGTTGAGAACACAGATTTTTAGAGAATTAAACCACAATTATTTTGACGTATGCCACTTTGAAATCCGATGTCTTTAAGAAAATTTATGGGTTTACAAGTGCAAGATTTGGGTCGGACGGACGGTCGAACAGGACAGGCCAAAACGTACTTACGAAAATGGCTAAATTAACACACCTGGTGATGCTGATCAAGAATATATATACTTTATAGGGTCGAAAATGCGCCCTTCAATGCGTTGCAAGCTTTTGACTGAACTTACAATATCCTCTCCAAGGGTATACAAATGTTGGTGTTTTAAAATACCTCCTTATCGGTTACTTCAACATTTTATTTATTTCTTCCGTTTATGTTATTATTGCAATTCCAAAATTGCAGTTAATAAGCGTTCGACCTTAATACATTTATAAAATAAGTATATTAGAATATACTTATGTATATACAATAGTAATACAATCCTATAATCGTTTGACCTTCATAGTTTTTTGTAATACGTTGTTTATAATTTATATTGACCCTGTTTTATTATGCTTATCTGATATAATAAGCTCAAGCTTGCATTATCTCACAAAATCTTATCTTATTTGTAGTATCTTTAAGATTAAATCGGGAAATCTGTCAAAATTTGTATTTTCTGTTGATTGATTGCTGCGATTACAAAGCTCTCACTTCTGATTGATGTTTAACCCCTTTGACGCCCCTCCCTTTATTTGTTGTATCCTTTTAAAAACCATTTTTTAGCAGGATTTGGAGGGTTTCCGTTTTTTTTTGTTTTTTGGGGATATCTTTGTTGGCTTCTTCAATTTAAATTTCATTTCCCGTTTTTGTTTTTGGTGGCCAAGGGGTTAAGAATGGAAACCAGCTTTCGCCTTCGGGGGTTATCAAAAGTGTTTGGTTACTCCTGTTTTTTGTGTTTGCTTACACTTGTAAATATTTCATGTGCACTTTACTCATTCTCCGTCTCTTTTCCCCATTACAGCTGTCGGAAGAGGAGGAAAAAGAAGAGGAAGCAGAAGAACAGCCAATTTGTAGACGACTCTTCTGACCAGTTCTCTTTGCTTTCGTTTTTCGGCTCACCCTACATTTCTGTTTCTTGGCTAACGTATTTTTATAGACACTCTAACAAGTCAGGTTAAACTAAAGAACCTTAAAGTGCAAGTGGCATTTTTAACAGTAACACCTTTTTTAAAATTCGATTTAAATATATATAGTTTAGTTTTCTATTTCTATAGTATTATTGATATTATTTGTTCTTATATATTGAAATTTCAAATGGGCTATTTTCTCAAATCACCAATTAAAGGGTATTTCGCAAGCTTTGGGCTACCTTTCCTGTCACTCTTGTTTGCTCTTGTTTTTTGTTTATTAATTGAAATTCTCTGGAATGCCAGAAGTTGAAACACTTGCATCGTAACCTGGCACTTATTTCGCCTGCATTTGTTTGGGTTTTATATATGTATGTATGTACATGGAGTCTACTAAAATGAAAGGGCGAACAAAAAGAGAGAGGAAGGGTTGCATTACTCATACGCCACGTTATGCAGCCGCTCACTTTATTTACTTTTTTCTTAGTCCAACGCTTTTTGGCACGCATTTTTTGTGTGATTTGTTGCCAACTGAACTGTTTATGTGTGCTCTTTTATTTTTTGACTCAGTCAGTCGTTATGTGGGCTTATATCAAGGGATTGACGGCTGAAAGGGGATTGACGTGACTGCGGGGGTCGAATGACTAAATTTGAGTTGCACTGGCACCTTGAGTGATAATCATAAAACATCCAAATGTTATACAAATTTCAATTACGTAAAATAGCAAATTAGGTTGCCTTGAAAGCAATCGATAAAGATTTTATTTTGGAAGACCAAAAATAAAATGTAATAGTTTGAGAGTAGTTTTCCCTACTTTTAGCTTACAAAGAAACGGACCTTAATGTGTTCCCATTCTTTTAATTTTAAAGAGTTTCACCATATTGGTATACATTTACTTATTTGCAAACTGGTTAAAACTTACTAAAAAACTTAATATGTTAGCTGGCAGAATAACTAAAACGATTACGAATCAGTTATTAAACGTGAATAAATTGAAGCATGTTTTTTTTTTAGACAATAGTATAAGCCAGTTATTAAACGGGTAAAAATCGGTAAACAGTTCAAATCTAATTAATTATAAATAAAATGAAAACATTCTGATGAATCGGCTGTGAAACGGTTTAGTTTGCTTCCTGTCTCTCCCTAACTTTGCCGTAATATTGCTAAGAGTGCGTTGTTATCCCCGGATGAGCTCACCTCCATTTGCAGTGTCCCTAATTGCCTTTTGACCACATTTAAGCTTTCACCCACAAAACACGTGTGGTTATCCCCAGTTGCATGTTGCAGCATCTTGGCCTTATCCTTTATCCCGAAACCAACTAATTAGCCCTTGGCCCAGGCTGCAAATGCAAATAGATGGCTTTCATAATGCGCTTTCTAATTGCGATGCCATAGAAGGGCCAAGAGGGATGGAAATCAGGGGCTATAAAGCTGGCAGGAATCTCATGCACAACTGTGTTCGCAATAATTAAATTTTAAATTTTACAAAATATCTTTTATAACAAGCAAAACTATTAGTTTTATTGAAATATAGTTTTATTAGTTAAAATTATTAATTTGAATATGCAAAGTTTTTCAATTAAATTTTTAGATTTGAGAGTTGTATATAAGTTTTTTTTTTATTAGAAACTAAAATACAGTAGTAATATTTATTATTTAATTCTTATTGTGTAAAAACAAATCTTACATTAGTTTATAGTTATGTCTACTATTAATATTGGGTTGTAAAAGGGTTGGGAGGGGTGGTGGGGAAATTGGGAGGAAAAGTCATGTAAATCATGAGCGAAAAGGAAGCCCAGGGAAACTTTCTTTTTTTCTCTTTCTCCCTTTCTCTCTCTATCGTTGTGTAAACATGTTGCGGCAACAAATTGTTGCACTGCTATTGTTGTTTTCATTACTTTGTTTCTCCTGTTTTCATTCACTTGTTTGCTCGTCTTCTCTCCTTTGAGCCCGGTTTTTCTCTCCGCCATGTGCTCCCCTTTGCTTTCTCTCTCTCTTCCGCTCACTCTTGGTTGCTGCGCCGTCGCCTTTAAACATTCGTCTTCCGGTTTTTTCCACTTGCAGCTTGTTTCGAAATTTATTTATATCTTCCTGTTTCCTGATACCCTTTAAATATACTTGCAAACTATTTTAATAAAAAACTCAGTTTTCTGGTAAATCCAATTCTTACTAACTAACTTTGAAATAGAAATTATTATTAGTGACCTGAATGGCATTTTCATAAACTTTTCCAAATGTTTTTAAGGACCAAATCTTGAAAATTTCTATACCGAAAATGTATTGCAATTATCTTATTTGTGTCTTTAGTAAGAAGACCCACTTTTTTAAATCATTGCTCTGCCTTTACTATATTTTTAATGTACATATATTTGACTATATTATTTATTTGCTGTTACTTACTTTCTTCTACGTCTTTTGCTCACGCACACTAATACCATAACATCCTGGCATCGCACCTGCGCCTTATTTTTTTGCGTCGCACTTGAACTTTGCACTCTCTTTCGGCATCCTGCTTGGCTCTCTTTGGTCTCTCACCCGGTTTTCTGCAAGCTCTCTTCTCTTTCTGCTCCTTTCTTTTCTTTTTTTTCAAAATCGCCTACGCTGTTTGTCTCAGCTTCTTCTTCCTTTGCCTTGGCTTCGTCTACTCCTTCAACTAGGTTTACCCCTCCTCTTCTTTCCGTTTGGACTTTATTTCCGTTTTGCGCCGACATGCACTTTGAACTCTTTCCCTTTTTATTTGCACCTGCCCCTCCTTTTTCTTCAGACTCCTCCTCTGCATCACCAAAGCTACTAACTTCCGAAGGAAACAAGAAACACCAGAAGGACGAAACGAGGGGTGAAGAATTGAGGAGAGGTGTAAGAAGAATTGTAGAGGGGATGAGAAGAATTGTAGAGAGGTAGAAAGATTCCAGAAGAAGTGGAAGAGCAGAAGAATCGGAGTAAGGGTAAACAAGTTTTAGGACCTTTTCTTGTCCTAGTCCAAGTATATCCAGTTGAAGCTATCACAAAACAAAACAGTAGGAAAGAAGAACAAATGTGCGTCTTCAGTGATTCTCCTATTCCTTCTGATTCTTCCCATCCTTCATATGTATCTTTAGTTGTGGCTTTTCTGTCTTTATCTCTTCGTGCTCATTTAGTTATTCCTGAAATATAAATCGGCTGATTTTTGAGAATATGGTATTCAATAAAAATTAAGTAAGATGGTTGAACTTTAAAGGAATATTAAATGTGTTGAAAGATAATGCATCTGATGTTTTTAAAGATTTGAGAGTACTTAAAAATTTCCTTAAAAAACCCTCAGAAATATTTTGTATAAATTATGGTTGATAACGCAAGAAACTATGAGTCTTTTTCTTGTTCCTGTGCAGAGCAAATTAAAATTTCAGCCAAAAGAATGAAACATTTCCAAATGTCATATAGATCCTATCGGAACAATCAAAAAATAATACAAATAAATTCAACAGACGGATATACTCCGAGAAAGAATTGTTTTTAACAATTTTACAACTACGATTTAGTTTTATAAAATATCATTTATATCCTGAAAAATTTTTCAGAGAGTACAATTTTTTTTAAATGTATATATGTATTTAAAACACTAACTTTTTAAATGCATTAATAATGTTTATTTTAATATATAAGTAACAAACAAAAAAAAATATATACTCTTAAAGGGAAGCAGTAGAATTTCCATATTTATCAGTCAAGTTCGGAGTTCATCTTTTACAGGATTTTTTTGCGGAATAAGGAGGAGGATGCTATGATTCGTTTAAAAAACTCTTCGGAAAGAGGATTTAAGAACAGGACTTCTATTTTTATGGTTTGAGATACCAAATCCGGTGATGAGGTCTTACAACATCCACTGGGGCTCTCCGCAGACGCATTGCCTGACCTTGCGATCCAGATTCTTAATGTCATTTAACAATTCCTGGCACAAATTGTCGTGGGAGGGACATCCTGGGCAAGTTTTACCACCGGGTCCACATGATTTGCAACCGCATGGTTTCGAGGGTTTCGTGGTGCAAGGTTGTGCCGTAGTGGTGGATTTAGTTGTGGGTACTGTGGTGGCTTTAGTTGTTGCTTTAGTTGTTGCTTTAGTTGTTGCTTTAGTTGTTGCTTTAGTTGTTGCTTTAGTTGTTGCTTTAGTTGTCGCTTTAGTTGTCGTTTTTTCAGTGGTGCAAGGTGGTGCTGTGGTGGGGTTTTTCGTGGTGGCTTTAGTTGTTGCTTTAGTTGTCGCTTTAGTGGTCGATTTTTCAGTGGTGCAAGGTGGTGCGGTGGTGGCCTTAGTCGTGGTGGCTGTAGTTGTCGCTTTAGTTGTCGCTTTGGTTGTCGTTTTTTCAGTGGTGCAAGGTGGTGCGGTGGTTGCCTTAGTCGTGGTAGCTTTCTTGGTGGTAGCTTTCTTGGTAGTAGCTTTCTTAGTGGTTACTTTCTTTGTGGTAGCTTTCTCGGTGGTTCTTGCTGTGGTGCCTGGTTTTTTAGTGGTGACGGGCTTGTGGGTTGTAGGTGCATTACAAGCCGGTGGTGCTCCACAAGGCGGTGTTAATTCTTCACAAGGCGTAGACGAACAGCCGATAAGCAGGACGCTCGCTAACCGAAACACAATAACAAAATTAGTCAAAACGTATAATAGTACTTTTAAGTTTGATTACCAATCAGAAAGCCAATGGTAATCTTCATTTTGGTCCTGGCCCGATTCTTTAGCTAGATGGCTTTCCACTGGATGGTGCTGAGCCCCGAACTGAATACTTAACAGGCGATTCCAACCCATTATATATAGTCCCTATGGATCGCGACAAGTGTCCTGGTATAAATAATCATGGCTTGTTCAAATAAAGCCAGTTTCCAATAATAGACTAGAAAAAAGTGCTATTTGCCTTAAATATTAATGCTACACGTGCGCTTTAAGAACAGTAAAATTTATTTTTATTGCCCTTTGTTTAAAGAGATGTTTTAATTACAGTGAACCTGTAATGTAAGACAGTCACATAAGAAACTTCATGTAATTGGCATGAGACTTAAGTGTTTTGAAGACAATCTGGGTAGAGCTTTGGGACTTTTCATACATACATACATTAGTCTTCAATCTAAAATTATATTGAAATCCTAATTTGTAATTCTTTAGGATCATTCCTGAATTTTTAAAAACACAATTTGTACTAGATTTTCAATTAATATATTAATAATTTTTATGTTGCGACCTTTCATATATGTATGCAATGCTTTTTACCGAAAAGTTACAACAATTAAACACTTAATATTCTAATGAAATTCTAAACATTGTTTTATTTTAAGTTCTTCCTCCCGAGAGCTGCACTACAATAAAATAATATACGAAATTGTTAATTTTGACCTAGAAATGCGAACGCACAAAAGCCGAAACAAAACGCAGATGATAAAACAGTGGGGCAGATAGCAGAATGATGAATGAGGATGGGGGAGGAGGAGGATGGAAATGGGAGAGGAGACAAAAACGCAGAGACCCAAAAAAGTACAATGAACCCTCCGACAATTGCTGTTGTTGTTAGTGCTGCTGCGTCGGCAACATTGTTGCTGCCCCGCCCAATCCGCCACCCCCGCGCCATTCAACCACCTTCTTTTCCCTATAGTTAACAACTTCTTCCAGAAGGAAAAAGAATAAAATTATGAAAACAAACAATTTGCTGTGGCAATGTTGCTGCTGTGCGCGACGATGATGTTGCTGCTGCTGTGGCACGCTGCAACTTTTGCCCGGGGCCCAGGTTTTTGGACAGCCAGAGAGCTGCCCATGCATATCAAAACAAGTTCCGTCCCACACAAATGCCAGCACGTTTCGAAATTGCCGACGTCGACGCATCATAACAATAACAAAAGCCCCAACCAGACACACCAGCAATAGCAACAGCAACAAGAGCAGCATGAGCGAGCAAACAATTTGGAAGCCAATGAAACTACAGTAGATATTTCCTTATATGCTCAATAATTAGAGAGGTTGGGGCAAAACCGTCACTCAAATGACTATCGTAATTTTATGTTTTATAAAATAGTTTTATCAATAATATAAAATTTTTTAGTAACTTTAAAATGCAATGCTTAATAAAAGCTACTTTAAATAGGCTCATAAGGGAGAAAGGGGTGAAATTGACTCCAAAATAAATAAAGTCAAAGTCATTCAGTCAAATTGTTTATCAATTTAAAATGCCGATTAGACAGGTTTATAGTATGCTTTGTAAAGCGAAACCAAAGAAGTTACTTTTAGACATCAAAATTTTTTCTTTTATAGCCAATGTCTATTGTACATGTGCATGAAGCAGTGCATAAACAGTGGCAGCGACGTCGACTACGGCAGAGGAAAAGGCTGCCTAAGAGGGTGGCAAAGGGGCGGATAAAGTTGGAGAGAGAGGAGAGTAGGGGGCGGTATAGGAAGCAGAAAAAAAGTTGCCGTGGACGAAACAATGACGCAGCAACAGCGGCAAAATGCGAATGAGAATCACGATGAGAATGCGAAAGAGAATGTGGAGCTCAGGAAAGAAGAAGACAAGAGCTTCTGCAGCATCTTAAGGTGGTCCTTAAAAATATGTAAAAAAAACAATATACCATTTTAAATATAAATAAATATGAATACAGTCAGTGGTGTAGCAAAGATTCCTCTAAATTTGGTCTGTAAAATGCGGCCATTGAACTACATACATATCTGTAAAAGGATGTTTGATGAAATTATTTCAAAAAGAGTTTTTGGGTTAGTGAAAGTCGTTTGTCTCTGGTCCGCCCTAAAGTTCTTGCACAGACATATCGACAATTACACAGATCTGTTGTTATTATTGTTATTTTCTTCCTGTTTCGCTATGCACAAGCGCAAGAAAAGCAACAGCAACAAACGAACAAACAGTCACAACAACACCTACATACATATGTACTTATGTACGTTCAGCAACCAAACAGGCGTGCTGGTAGACAGTTGCGGTTGATAAAATAGTGGCATATTATGATTTTTGCTTGTATTGTGAAATATGTTTTTATTCCATTTTCGGAAAAAAAAACCTTGAGTTTTATGAAAAACTGAACGATATCTGCCTAACTTAAAGAACGACTATACACATAGCAATGATATAGAATGACTGCAAGGGTATTAAAAAGTTGGTTTGTCAAATGAAGCTTCCATTGTTGTTGAATTTAATGTAAACGGTGTTGTAAGAAGCATGTTAATTATACAATCCATTTGTTTACACAAAAAATTAATGAAAATAGTTGTCATTGGGCTAGTTGAGTTAAAAAATTGTTTAAGCTGGACATTTTTTTATATTAACTTTAAAGTTTCTTTTCTGGTTGAGCTCTTTGAGACAATGACTGTATGAATATTAAAAGAAGAACATGTTTCTATTATATTGACCGATGCTGTACCTGCGCTCTCTTCTCTCTCTTGCGGCTGCATTTTGCCATTGCTTTTGCTTCTGTTGTTGTTGCCTTGCGAATGCTGCGACTGTGACGCCGGCAGCGACGCCGACTGCAGCAGAGGCAGCGCAGTCGCTGTGGCAAAAAGTTAAAGTTAAAATTGAGCGGCCGCATTTAGTTTGCTTCTGTCATTGCATTCGGCGGGTAGGAATCACAAGAAACAAGAATCGAGAATAAAAGAATAAGAAACACCATAAAACACACAAGAAACCGAAACAACAAACAAAAACAAATCTAGTAAAATTAACAATAAGAAGAAAAAAAACCACAGCTTGCCTTTATTTTTTTCACGTTTAAGTGCAACCAAAAAGAAGAAGCAGAAACAAGAAGAAAGGAGAGGAGAAGCAGCAGCAAAGTGCTTAATAATTCTAACGGTAAATAGTGAGCGAAATTTCTCGGTGTAAAGTGCAAAACGAAAAAGTTTTCTGCAAGTGTGTGTGTGTTGTTTTGTTTCCATTTGCTTTGCATCTGTATTTTCATGGTGAACTTTTTTTATTTGCACTCATATTTTTTTTCTGGTGCTATTTTTTGCTCTTGAAATAATATTTGTGGGTATTTTATTGGACATGCATTAAGTTTTTCTAATATTTTGTTTTGTTCTGCATTAATTTTTAAAATTGCATTAATTTATTCAACTGTTTTTTTTTATTTTGTTCAATTTAATTTTGTATTCGTTCTGATTTAATTAATATGTGTTTTAGTTTTATGTATGTTCACTTTGCGTTTACCTCTCAAAAGGTGTGCGTTTGTTTTTATTTATATATGTACATGCATCTATTTTTGCACGTATTTGCGTTCCTTTTACATTTTATTTAGGGTTTTTACTCTTACACTATTCAAAACTTTCAATTTATTCATTTGTATTTTAATTCTTGCTTTAATATTGCTGGTGGAAAAAAATTATGTAAAATAATCAAATGTGACCATCATAACTTAAATTTTTTTTTGTGTATTATATTTAGCATTTTGTTTTTTTTTTTTTTAGATGTTTCTTTTCTTTGGGAGACCCGTTCTTCAGCTTTTTTTTCTGTTGTTTTGCTTTTGGCTTTGTTTTTAGCATGTGCCCTTTTTTGTGAGAGAGAAAAGGAGAGAGAGAGAGGGTGGGGTTTTCTTTTTTCTTGCCTCCACACCATCTGCCATGCACACAAAAATAACAAAAACAAGAACAATTTAACAGTGGAGCGCGTGCTTTTTCTGCGTCTCGCTAAACACGCCATTCGCCCACACAGACATAATTATGGCTCTCTTAAATGGCTCTTAAAACATACGCCTTGCTCTTAAGTCATACTTTTTTGCGCTCACCTCTCTCTTCTGCTGCCTTGGCATTTCGTTGCCGTTCCCTCTCAATTTTCATTTCACATTATTAAGCCGTAGCGTGCGCGTCGCAGTCGCCGTCGCCGCAGACGTCACACTCTAAAAGTTGCGTCAGTTCACGAAAAAAATTTTAAGAAATAATTTTAAAATAAATATTAAAAAAAGGAAACAAGTACTACTACGCACTTTTTTTTAAGTTTGCAACCAAGTTTGTTCAAAGTGCATGGCAAAAGTTTATAAAGTATGTTGAAATACAAGAGAAAAATAAGAAAAAAATTGTATGCGTGTTAGTGCTAGCTCGTCAGCTCTTTTCATATATGTAGTAACTATAAATTTGCGTGTGTGCGATTTTGTTTGGTATTATTTAATGAAACATTAAATTTGTTGAATTTTATTAATAAAACAAACAATAAGTGATGCGTTGCAAAAAATTAACATACAAAATAATCAAAAAAGGGATATGTCTCTTTTTAAGCTATTTTTCATAGTTTTAAACAACAACTAAAGCAATGACAAAAATACAAAAAAAAATAAACCCCTAAAACAGGGTTGCCATGCCCCCTAAGAATGAATACGAAACCTCAAAGAAAAAAACCAAGTAAAACTAGAAATACACGTTCATAGTCCAATTGGTTTTCGAATTTATTCGTTTACTTTGTTAAAAATTGAACAAAAAAATCACTTATATCAAAAGAGTTTCCAAAAATATTTAATTTAATATTTTAATTTGTTTAAAAACAGGTTTTATTTTATTTGTAAGCACTTAAATTTTATATAAAATCAAAAAGAAATAAAAAAAAATGTTAAAAATAAACATATCTGTTTCCTCCTTTATAAATTAAAAACAAATCTATAATATATTATGGAACTTCAATAAATTAAAGAAAAATAATTCACTGAACAAATAAGAGATTTTTCTTTTTAATTTTTGCCTATTTTTAAACGGGCAAAAAGGAATTTTTTTTGCACGCTTCATCACTCTTCATTTCAAAATTAGCAACAAAAACACATGACGAAAACCGCCAGAAAAACGGAAATTCAAAGAAATTGCGTGAAGGGGGAGAGAGCGATAAAGAGAAAGAGAGAGAAAGGCAAAAGAGAGCTTTAAAATTCACAGGGGATATAGGAACTTTTTTTGTTATTGTTTGTCTGTTGCTTATATTCTTCCTTCTGTTTGATTTTTACTTTCCCAGAGAGCTTTTTTTATTTTATTCAGTACTTTTTTTCTTTCAAAATTTATTTTTATTGTTTGCCTAAAGTGCTTGAAAAATTTTTCCCAAAAAAAGCTTAAAAGTTGTTTAAAGTGAAGTTTATTTTTGGATTTTAAGTAGAAAAAAATTGTTCATATTTTTCTTTTTTTTTTTTTTTTTTTACCAAAAATTGCCCAAAAAGGATTAAATTTCCTCAGGACGTTTTCTCAGATTACAGACATCCATTTTCTTCGGCAAAATGAACCGCAAAATGTTTCATTAATTGGTTTGCTTCTTTTTCATTTTTCCCTTTACCTTTTCAACTTTTGCATTTGACTTTTGAGTTTCAGTTCAGTGTTCCATGCGATTATCGAATGGTGAATCCGAATCTCAATCTCTTCTCGTGTGTGCAACAACCCCTCTTTAAGTCCTGTTCCGGTTTTTGTCCCATTAAGAAGGTTTCCCTTTGATATTCTCATATTCCTTTTCGATTTTTACATGCACAGGAGAACCTCGCTACAAGTGAACTTTCAAAACACGAATTTGGTAGAAATACTTTCCCGTAAACTTCGGAATACCTACTTCAAATGAAAGGTTTTTTCCTGCTAATCACAGTTAGATTCATTCTTATTTAGTTTATGAAAAAACAGTAACAGTATAAATTAAATTGTAAATTTGTCAATTTTAGAAAGCAAAATATTAGTATTATTGTTTACATAAAAACGAATTCTTTAAAATTTTAGGACATACTTTACTAAAAAATATAATAACAACAATTTCTAAAATGTTTTGTAAATTTTAAGCATGATTAAACAACTAGAAGTAAATAGTTAATACCAAATTCTCATTTTGTTTCTTCAATAGAATTTTCCGTTATTCTCCGGTTATTCGTGTTAGACAGGCCCGACTGTCTTTGATTTCTTTCACACGCTGGCCATGAAAGCTGGCGAAGAAAGCCTGACAATGGGCTATAATATAGCCTATAGGGTATTTTGGGAAATATGATGACGACCCTTGGCCCTCGAGCTGCGACCCTTTGGGGTGGAATATCCCTCCCCCGACCCACTCTCTTCGGCTTCTCTTCCTTCATTCCCTTTTCTGTTTGGGGTCGATTTCTGGTTTGCGTTTTCAGGTACAACGTACCTATAAGATATACATGTTTTTTTTTTCAGTTGTGTTCTCGAGTTACCGAATTTTGTAGATGCAGTGTGAGGTTGCGTGGGTGTCTCCGTCAATTACTGCGATTTTTTTCTTTTTCGTTCCTAGTGCCATTTTAAGCGATTTCGATTTGAATATTTAATAGAATTTGCCACGCGCCGCAGGTTTTTTCTCCTTGTTCTCATCCTGGCTCTCTTCATCGTCATTCCCTTTGTTTTTCCTCTCACCGTAGTTGACAATTAACATGTCACCCCGTAAAGCAAAACAAATCGTGATATAAAAATGGGAACAAAGCTTTTGGTACCCTAGTAATTACATTTTTCCATATTCTACCATCTTAACACTTGTCTATTCATATATGTATATTTCAGTGCATTTACATTTATACTCTTTTTTTTCGAAATAGTACTTTCAGACATAGAATAAAAAAAATATAAGATAAAAAAAAAACTATAAAAAAGTAAATGGTAATATTTGTATCTGTTATTATTATAAAAATCAAATTTTAATTGAATTTGTACTTTTTACACGTACTTGTACAACTCTAAGAGTTTTAATAAGACATCTCCTTTTGAACAGCGTTTAGATCAATTTATTGCAAAGTGACTTTTGATTAGGATAATTTTTATCAAACAATTTGAACCCTGCTCAAAGCTCTCTTCAATTATTATTCCTAATTTCAGGGAGAGAGAGAGCGAAATGGAGGGAGCAGCTGCCAAAAAAATAAAGCATTAAAGCCGGCTGCAATTTTCTTTCAAGCCATCTCTTTCATTCACGCGACCCTTGACCTTCTATATGAAATATGACAACAACAAAGACACAATGCAACATTAGTTTCTCTTAATGCTTTTCGCCGCTCAGTTGAATGCCCCAAACACCACATACACGTAAAACGCACACATGAAAAACCAGCAGCTGATGGAAGATGAAAAAGAAAAAAAGGACTAAGAGAGGGGCGAAGGATGGGGACAAGAGAAAGAGCACAGCCTGCGCGCACGCGCCAATCTTAGTTTTTTCTTCCTCCTCTTTTATTATTTCCTTTTAACTTCCCCTTTTACAGTAAAAACCCTTTGAATTAAAAACAAAATTACCAAAAATTTCAATATAAATTTTACCTGGGAATTTTAATTTGCTTTTGTGCTGTTTTTGAGCATAATTTTCTTCAAGAAATTCATTAGTTCTTCTACGGTACTGGTCCACCGCGTCGATGGCATACTGTATATTCTGTTTTTGCCCCGCAATCCCCGTCCCTTTTCCTTAGCTGCAACTTGTTGGTTGGGGCTCTCTCCCTCTCTCTTTTTGTTTGTTATTTTTTCAGTCTTGTTTTTGTTTTTCTTGTTCTGTGTGTGTGTTGCTGCCACGCAGCTGTGCACAATTAGCGCAAACGCAACAGCTGCTGAAGTCGGCGCAGAGAGCGCTGCCCAGAGGGAACAAAAACAAAAAAAATATGTAGTTAAACTTATTACCAATTATAGATGTCAAACTAACGTTATTTAATGCCCTCTTTTGTGACCTTTTAATAAGGTTAGGAAACAGGTTTTCAAAAAACGTTTTCATTTCCTTTCTGTAACTTTAGCACACTTACTTTGTCTATGCTATAATTATGATCTTAATTATCTGATCTTTTATTTAAATTATTTATATGGCTTAAACTCTGAAAACTAACATAAAGATCCTATTTTTCTCTTTTCAGTTTATGCAACTAAAACAAAAATATAAGAATCAATATTAGCAACTATATAGAACAGCAAGCCAAAACCACCGAATAATCAACAACTTTAAAAACGTCAAAAAACTCACCAACTTAAACAATAAAACTCAACAACCAACAAGATCAAACACAACAAACTCCAATCGGCACATAGAAACAAAAACGTCAATAAATTTTAAAAATATATTTTAAAAGCAGTTTCAAGTTTCAACAGCAATTTTCACCAACAACTCAATATATTTCCAACAATTTCTAACAAAAAAATCTTTCTTTAGAAAACCTTTTTTTTTGACAAAAAATATAAACACTTCAAAAATTTTGTTAACAATTTTCGCGATAACTTTCAAGGTGTCGGGACTTAAAGCTGCCTCTGTCCTGCTCTCTCGCGTGTATTCGTCCTATTTCGCATTGGTGTACGAGTGTTGTACTATTTTTTCCAACATATATTTTTGTTGTGTTACGTTTTCGTCCTTGCCACGTGCGAGTGTGTCCTGTGTGCGAGAAGAGGGAGTGCGCTAGTTTGTGTATGCTATGTCAGGGATCGGGGGCATTATGGCGCTCCTCCAGGCGGCTAAATTTATCGAGCAGAATGAGACGCTCCCGCAGGCGGGAGGCGGTGTCGGCCTGGGTGTGGGCGTGGCCCTGCCCCAGAATCAGCAGCAACAACAGTCGTCGGTACACTGCAAGAGCATCTCCATTATCAACAACAACAATAGCAGCCAGCACAATAGAAATAGCAGCAGTAACGGGATTATTGCAACGCCACCGTTCACGAACGGAAATGGCAACGGGATCGTCAACGTATTAAACGTGACAGGCAGCGTTAAAGTCTATGCGAACAGCAACGGTCACAGCAGTCCGCGCAGTCAATTAGCCGCCGCTGCCCACGACTACGAGCTTACCGCCGTAAGCAGCGCAGTCGCCAACGGACACAGCGAAGGTCGCCCCCTCATCTCGGGTAAGTTTCCTCCCCTTTGACCACCATCCCATTAGTGCTCTCTAGTCGGAGTTTTCCCATCACAATTAAATTATGTTTTTGGCGCCCATGGGTGGACATTTGAGTTCTACTTACGATACTATTCACAAAACAATTGAAGTTCTATAATTATAGCTAAGTTTTACAGATGTTTTTAAATCATTTAAAATACCTATTTAAACGGTTTTGAGTTCTTAGACATTCCGAATTAAATTTGTAAGCGTTTTTATACAATTAATTCTACTACTCTACATTCGTTTTCAAAGCTAGAATATTAATTTTATAAAAGCCATGATTTTTAAATTATGAGCCTATATTTTAAAATAGATGTTTTTACCTAAAATAAGATCTTTAAAACCCAAACTTGAAAATCAATTTTGTTTGGAAAACTCTGACTAAATTTAAATCCTTATCACTCATCGTCATATCATTTCGAATTGTAAGTGTCACGGTGTTGCTAACTAATTGCCCACTGCTGTGTGAAAGTCGTCTAACACTTTTATAGTGCAACAACATCAGCTGTCTGCTCCCCTGTTAAGTCTAGTTGGTCTTTCGTAAGGCGACAACAATTTTAAAGCAAAAATAAATAACACTGGCTAAGTTTATTCGACAATTTAATCAGGGGGTCCACCTTTTCAGGATTTTGTAAGCTAGTTTTATTAACACAAATATGCTTTATACTTTAGTTTCTAATTTTGTTTATAGCCTATGCAACTTATTTGTCCGGCGACTTGTTTTTTACCTATCTAGCATTAAATGCTTTCTTTACTATAATGCCTGGGAAAATTCATTTTGTCGTCTATTTTGTCGGCAGTGTGGGTGATAAAAATATCTCAGATAACGTCGCACTGTTCTAAACTTGATTGATTATGATTGGAAGGTGTAGGCAACAGGGTGATTGTGGGCGATAACCTCTATTAAACAATTAGGATACATATATAAACAAGAAAAATTAATATATACGGTAAAACTTTCATAGCTTTCAGAGCCACCACGACTTGCCGCAAAAATATGTTTGGGTATTGAGGACTTACAGTTTTTGGGAGTATCACAGACATTATTCACACTTCGGTAGAACTGTAGATATGATTTACAATAAATGTTAAATTTATGAAAGTTCGACTGTAGCTACAAAAAAAACGAAATATACATATGTAAAGTATTCAAATTTGAATCTTCTATTGCCTTGAAACCAATCATATTATAATGTTTTTGGAAGGTCTTCGTAAAACCCCGAATATGACCCTAAAAAAGGGAGTTTAACCAAAATGTTTAACCAACACAGATTTAAAACCTACCCAAGGTTAATTGGAATTTAGGATACCTGGATTTTTTTTTCTACATATAAAATAGTTAAACCTCGTAACGCTTCTCTATTTTGAAATAGACAATTTTGTCGCCTTTCCAAACCGAAACAGTTACTGCTCTTTTTTTTCCCCCATTTGCTTTTGCTGCATTTAAACTTGTTTTGACCTTGTTTGCGACGCCGACGACGACGCCGACTGCATTTTGCGTGGGCGCGCACTGTACCCAAAAAAAAAAAATAATTTTGAATAAAATAAAACCTCAAAGCGCTCTCCCCCACTCTTTCGATCTCTTTTTGGCGCAGGTTGCAAGCGTGGCAAGCAGCAGGTACTGTTATATTTTTAGCACTCTGCTTGCTTCGCGGTCGACGTCGACTGCACTGCCCTGGTCGCTGCCGGCGTCGCTGCCCAATTGGCATGTGCTAAATTGTCATGTTTGCCTCTCATTTTGCCTTTTGTTTTTGCCTTGACTATCGGATACAAAAATTTGCAACGTCAAAAATACAGTGAAAACGTTTGTCAAATATTCCAGTTTTAAAATCAACTTTGAAAAAAGCTTACATATAATTTAACTAGCTTTTCTTGTATATTAGTCTTCAAACATACATTGTTAAAAAAAAACTTAAAACTTAAAAAGAAAAGGATAAAAAGATTGTTTAAAAAAATTTTTGGCTTTGTGGATTTAGATCTTATAAAATTATATACTTAACAGACTGAGTGTCAAAATAAAATTATGATTTTAAATGTCCTCAATATAACTAAGATAGGGCATAAAGCTAAAACCTTTTGTTTTCAGGATTTCACTGATAATACTCTTGGATTACTTTGAAAAGAAAATATGGTTTCTTAATAGAAAAAGCTCGAAAAGCAATCAAATTGGGAAGAAAATTGTATTATAACAACAATATTATACGTTAAAAAAGATTACCACTGTATTAAGTATTTTGTTTTCTTTTGGCTTTTGCTGTGCTCATTTCGGTTTTTTGGATTTTTCGCTTTTTTGTCAACATGTGTGTAGTTTTTGTTGTTCATCTTGGCTTTTTTTCATCTGTTTTTTTTTGTTTTGTTTTTTTTTTCTTTGTCTTTTTTTTCGCTTTTGTCATGCGCTTCGTATTTTTTCGCACGTACGCTCGTACTTGTTGCTGTTGTTGTTGTTTGGGGTCACGTCATATTGCGGCTCTCTTCCTTTTTTGCTTTGGTCTCTCTTTAAAAAAATTAGTCATAGCTCACAGAAAAAAGACTCCACGTGAGCAGTGGTTCTCTTAAGTTCACTATACTTTGCCAGCAAAATTACTCTTTTGTCCCCACTCTCTTTGGTCATGTCACTTTTAGCTCTCTTCTTGGCTGCTGGTGTAAAACAAAGTCATTGAACTTTGTACGCATTTTTTGTTATTGTTGTTGTTTTTGTTGTTGTCGGCCTGCCTTTTTTTCGTACCCATTAAATATTATATTTTGGCCTTTCTTTATGGTTTTATGTTTTATGTTTGTTTTCTTCACACTTACAAATTTTAATTTCTTTTTTTCTGTATTGCGTGTGTAATATTTGGACAGCTGTCTCTTTTGTTTTCCTCTCTCTTAGCGTCTCCTTTTTAATTCCTCTTTTTGTTTTTCTTCTTCCTAGTTTCTTATTTTTTTGTTATTTTACTCCATTTCTCTTTTTTTTTTATTTAAATAATGTTGTTTTAATCAACCAGATATTGTTTTTGGGGGGATTCTATTTTTATGTTGAGAAAGTTCCCCGAAAATCCAGGGCCTTTGAGGCTTATCATCTTAATTGGCTCAAATGTGTGTGAATTTCGAAGTTGGCAAATAAATGAATCACTTTGCTTCCAAAATTATACGTAAATTTGTATTTAAACATTTACAGTTATAACGAAATATTTGGGGCACGTAATTGTTAAAAATCAAAAGAATTTAGACAATGATTTTTAACATTATATTAGTAAATATTAAATTCAGAATTAAATTTTCTTTTATTCATAAAAATAATAATATATGTAATTTTCAAGCCTTAAATAATAACAAAATTTAAAACGATCATAATATTGAAAACCACTTTTTAATAGCGCCAAAAAGCGGGCCATAAAATCAGGCAAATTCTAAAATGTTCAAAGAAAAACATAAAATGCCAAACTAAATTTTTTCCCGTTTTCCTTGGTGAATCACGGTAATATGGAAAAGGATGTTGTCTGTTTTCCATCCGATTTGCATTTCTCATAAATGCAAATTTCCGGTGACTCTTTGATTTCGATTCTTTAATATTCTTGTGCCGGACTTTTTATTTTTCTTCTATCACTCTTTGAGTCGCGGACGGAAAAATTGCATTTTCCTCCCGTTTTTCAGTGGATAAATTATATTTTACTGCACAAAACGACAACAAAATCAAGTTATCGTAGAGGTAATGTAATTTGAGTGCTGTGCAAAGTTGACTGAAGTTCCAGCAACATATTGCTGCGCAACAGCAACATCAAACGCAACGAAATGGATATATCCTCATTATGGTTAAGGTTCATAGAGATGAAAATTGCTTGACTTAATGGTTTAATTAAAAAATAATGTTTGTGTTTAGAAAAATGAAAAGAAATGAATGTGGAATCAAAATCACTGTGTTACTGATTTTGTGTAATGTGTAAGTCATTCTAACTAAATATTTCTATTTTATCAATTTTAAATTTGAAAATGTACTTACTTTCACATTGAGCCTAAAACATATTAATTTAAGTTTATTGGAAGTTAAGCCCATTTTTCCTATGTATGAAACCCAAGTGTGCGTGTGTGATAACGTGGGTTAATAAGTGTGCAACCGATGTTGTTGCAGGCCACGTGCGCTTTCGTCACGTGGCATTGTGTTGTGGGTGTTAAATAATGTAGAGTACGAGGGCAAAGCGGGGAGAATACATGTGCAAAGAATAGAGTAGGAGAAACTTTAGAGAGAGAAAGGGGGCATTGATATTCCGGCCCGGAATTTGAATGTGTGAAAAGTATGCTATGCCGAAAAAGTGTACCATATCACTTTATTTTAAATCCCTTTAATGTAAAATGCTGTTAGCATTACAGGTTAATATTGAAGAAATAGTGCAAGTTTTATTACAGCATTATATTGATTCTTTAAAAATTCTAACTAGGTTCTAAGAAAGTTCTTCCAAGTTTTTCCTAAGTAAAAATTAATAGGCAATTGAAAATAAGACAAGACTGCCTTACAAAATTAATTCAATATTGTTCTAATTATGTTATTCGCTGGCATGAAGAAATTCAGTATGCAATTTGAAGTGATTAAACCAGTGCAATGCAATCGCTGACATTACATAACTAAAAATCCTGAGATAGGTTTAAATTAAATATTTATATTTATTTAAAAGGTTCCATTTTATTGATAGATTTAGTTATTAAGCAATGCAACACTTAATTTGAAGATGCTCTGCGGCTTATTGAATATACAGAAAATGTGTTCTGGAGCTGTGTCTATCAAAGGGTTGTTATTTGATATTATCCCCATTATTTCCATTAAATCGATCTGTATTTGTGGTTTTTCTGTCTGTCAACGTGCGACACGTGTCTCGGCTTACTTCACCTAACCACCCAATACCTACCACCCAACAACCCCGTAGTAAAAGCTACAGAACCACCCACCGCATTTACCTAAGAAAAGCACGGCAACACCAATCGTTAATAATGCATAATAAATGCGATTTGCCGTTGGCCGCTGTTTTCGGACGCAATTCGATGGAAATTCGCAGCGAGTTTTCCACGAATGCGTAACTAATTCATTGCTATAGCATACACTCCGCACTCAATCATATATAATTAACCCACCGAAGGACCTTCATCGCCCACTGATTGTTGGTTTGTCGACTGTTGGCTGTATTGTTGTTGTCTGTTGTATTTAACCCGAATTAATTTGCATTCATTAAACGCCGCCTTTGTCTTTTTTCCGCCGCTTTATGCTCTGATTTTCAGTCCAAGTTTTTATTTAGTTAAATACAAGCCATTTTCCTGGTATTTGTCTAGATTGAAATAAATTAAATCATTTCTGAAAATAAATTAGAATATTTTGTCAAGTTGGTTTATCTGTTTAACCTGTTGGAAAGATTTTTCAAAAGAAAAATAAATGAGTAAATAAAAGGAAGGTTTTAATTTCCTAGTTTAATTTGTATATTTCACTTATAGTGCTAATATTTTATTAATTTACGATACCAAAAATATATATCAAATGAGTTGAGGTTCTTCAAAATTTATGATTTGCAGATAAAAGATACATTATTTACCTCTAATTGGGTTTTAACGATAATGGAATATCAGATTTAATTTGCTTATTATTTTTTTGTTTTATTTTTTAATATGTGTGTTTCACATCAATTGATCTGGGTTAACTTTATTTTAATTTAACGTTTTCTAAGGGTAAATTCATGTACCTCTTTAGGTTTGCACTCATCTCGCATCATTTTGTTCCTATCATTTTCATTTAATTTTTTATGCCATCACCCACTATTTTTTCTTAGATATGATTTGTCTTCTTATTTCGTTTTTTTTTCCTATTTCTTCTTTACTTTTCGGCTACTCTTAGAGGATGATAATTCCTCAATCAACAAGAACAACAACAATACCCACTCCCCAAAACAACAACCTATTGCTGCGGGGAGAGCAACAACAACAGCAGCGGGAGCAACAGCAACCACAAAGTTGATGGGAAATTCAGTCTCACCTGCCACAAACTCCCCCACAATCACCCCCCTAAATACCACCCCCTCGCCTGCCTCCTCTGCCTTCATGTTACTGGCAGCAGCAGCAGCGAAAACCACTGCAACACCTGCAACTGCAACATCTGCTGCACTTGCAACTGTGCCAGCAGTAGCAACATCTAATCCTGCCAAGCACAAACTGAGTCCCATCGCCGAGATACCGCCCAAACTTCGATTCGTAGCGGATGTCAAGGTCAATTCCACGGACACGAATCTAAATGCCTTAATACCAACGATCAGTATATACCAGAATATGCCAAAGCAGCGCAGAGAGCAATTCAGTCCATACTTCGGTAGATTGCGACCGGGGGACATCTCATTGACACCACCGCCCACCGCCACGCGAAAAGTGGACACCAGCAATTCGCGGATCCGCTCCTACTCACTGTCCAATACCTTTTCAGCACCCAGGGATCAGCAGGATCAGCATAACAATGCCAACTATGTGCAATTCCAGCAGCATCTCAGCTATGTGAGAAGCGGCAATGGCGGAGTGGTCTATGGGGTGCCAGCGGATTCGTTGGACTCTTCCGGAGCATCCGGAACTTCCGGAAATGGAGCGGTAGCGATGGCCCTGAACATCGCCTCCTCGGCGCCAGCGGCGGGATCTCAGTTGACGGCACACCACCACACGGGACACGGCGGTCGCAGGCGCACCACCAGTTCCAACAGCAACGGGTGAGTTACAACACAGTACTTTTCTCTCTGCACCCAAAAAACAATCAGATTAATTATTACTCGTATGCCGTCTTTGCTGTCCTGGGCAGCATTGATAGTAATAAGTGAATTAAAATAGTATATTTCACATTTGCACATGCTGTAAGGCTGCTGATGCATTGTTTAGGACCAGCATAATGTTCCGATTTCAAATGACTCTGTTTTTTGGTCACCATTCAAATATACTAATTACCAAAAATTATTAATTTCAGAGCGGGCACCCGGGAGGTGCACAATAAGCTGGAAAAGGAACGACGTGCCCAGTTAAAGGAGTGCTACGACCTGCTCAAAAAGGAGCTTCCCATGCGAGATGAGGACCGAAAGAAGACCTCAAACTTGACAATACTCGATACGGCCCACAAATTTGTCAAGGTAAGTGCGTCCAAGGAAATTCAGAAAGTTGCAAGTTGTTGAAAGATTTCCCGAAAGAATTAAGGCAATTTTATGGAAATAAACTATTTCTGCAAAAAAAAAAAAGGAATGTAATCTGGGGAATTAAAATTTCAACTGAATAAGTACGATAAAAAGGTTTTTGTAATTACAAAATTTTATGTGTAATTCATTAACAAGCCATTCCCTTTGTTGTATTTCAGCAATTGACGCAGCGTGATCGCGAGCAGGAGGCGGAGGTGGAGAGGCTGGCGAAGCAGAAGATCGAGCTGCAAAAGCGGCTGAAGCGATTGGGATTAAGGAGGGAGACGCCGCCCACTGATCAGCAAAGCATTCCACAGGCCGACAAAGGTTAGAGTTACAATCCATATGCATATTTTCCCTGCATTTGAGATCTTGGGATGTAGCTGGATGAATGTGGATCAAATTTTTTACGACCTTCAAGTTATGCAATTTCCATTCGAAATACGATTTTAGCCACTTGCACACGCTAATCTCGCTCTTTCTCTCTCTATTTCCAGCTGTTTGCCTGGCAACAACAACCACACCAGCACCACCAACGGCGGCAAGTGGTCGCAATGGAACCACGATTCTATTCGATGCAGGCAACGCCTGTGCCACTGGGGTAAGGATAAGTCATCGAAACATAATAGCCACCCATTAGTGGACTGTAAACTGAATTTTTATTGGTTTTATTGAGATTTTTAAACCGGTTTTATGTCGCCAAATCGAAATTATTGACAAAATAAATGTAAATGCAAGGCAACTATTTATGAACAAACTATGTTTTCAAATAATCATTTGCAATTTATATATATTTATGAATAGTGTTATTTAAATATGGTATATTAATATTTATGTATTAAAGGAGAAAACATTTATTTTAAATTGAACAAGTAAATAAATGATCACGCTTTTAAAGTAAAATATACACGAATTATAAATCAAACGAATATTAGCCGAAATATGTATTGCTAAAATAATATGAATTATAATGCTTAACAAAGGTATTATTGTAATAATCTAAATTCAGTTTGCAATCCTCAAAAGGAAACAACCAAAAACCACAAGCTATATTTAATAATTTTATTTTTTCGCACTTAGCAGCAGCTTACAACTGTGATAAACAAAATAAATGCCACACCAGCAGGACCATCAGCAGCAGGAGCAACCGCAGCCAGCAGCAGACACAACGGCAACCACACAGGAGCAGGAGGAGCAACAACCGCACTGACTCCGGCCATGGGGATCATGACAATTAAGAACGGCAATGGCGTTAACAACAACATACTGGCAATCTCACCAACAGCAATCCAACATCAACTGCATCAGAGCCAGAACGGCGGTAGCCCGGCGGGTAGTCCATCGGCAATAGGAGCAACTGGAGCCACAATTATACGTGGCTCGCCCACGCCATCGACTCCATCGCCGTCGCCAAGCTCATCGTCCAGTGGCGTCTCATCGTCGGCTTCGTTTATGGGCGGTGGCTCCTCCTCATCGTCCTCCTCCTCATCATCATCCTCGTCATCCTCATCCTCCTCGTCATCTTCATCCTCCAGCTCGTCGTCCAGTTCGTCGTCGCCCACGCAACAACAACAGACCACCACGCCCACAACAACGGCCACCGCCCATTTGGTGGGCGGCCGCAATGTTGGTCTGAAATTCCATGGCGGTGCGGGTGGTGCGGCCACCGCTTTGAATGGCGGTGCCACTATCGTGGCCGCTGCTGTGCCAACTGGCGGTGGATCAGCAAATGGTGAGAGGGGGTACACTTAAAATATGGACTAATCCACTGACTTAAATTTGTAATTTATTTTTTAATGTACATAGTGATACAGGACTGTCCGATCATATTATTAACAAATATTGATTTTGTATTACGGGGACTTTTTTAACTAATAATGGCTAATTGATTTTGAGATTTCTAATTTTTTTAATGTATTCACAAATTTTTATAAAAGTATTTATGATTTTATTTTGATTTAATTATTAATTACTTATCATCTTTTCAGCAATGACGCATCAATACTTCATTAACATTTCAATTTAGTAGTAGACTATCAAAATTATATCTACTGTGCTGGAAAAATATGCTTTTAAGCTAATTATGATTTGGTTTTTATGTGGATATGGCTATAGTAGGGTGTTAAAAAATACAAGAGTTTAACAAATCACAATATAAGTCAGTGGAGTTGACACTAAAATGTGTAAAATTCGAGTTAATAAGAATATTGTTTTTAATTTTTGATCAGGTTTTCATCAGGCGGATAAGGATCGCAATTACAATTTTCTGATGCTCAGTGCTGGGACAACCGCACAGTAAACCAACAAAAAACAAACGAAAAAACAGCAACAAACAAACACCTACAACAATAATGAAAACAACAACAACAACAACAACTGAATTGTGTGCAACAGCTCCCACCTTACGAAAAAGTAACAACAACTAGAAGAAGGTTCTCTAAAAAACTCTTTCTTAAAATATGATACAACAAATATTGCGTATTTTTCACATTTTCGCACACATTGAAACAACAACAACAACAACAGCAGTAGCAAAAAGCAAACAGCAAAAAGAAACAAAGAAAAAGCTGTAATTTTTTATGTAAAACAAAAAGAAAAACAAAAGCTATCAAACAGTTCCGCCCAACACTTAGCATCGATTTTGAAAATCAAACAAATCAACAAAATGAAGAGGAAAATTATTTTTTAATAAATAATTTTATAAAAACAACAAAAACGCGGGAGGAAAAGCTAGCAACAACACCAAGAATACGCAAACAACCAACAGCAACCACAACAGCAACAGCAGAAGACCAATTAAATAAATATAAAGCAGCAACAACAGGCATCATTCAACAAGAACAGCTTAAAATCCCACAACAAGATAATCTACAACATACACACACAGGCCCATCAACATGCATATATACTATATATATTATATATCTAATTGTACTACTTTATAGTAAAGCCTAGAAAAGAAAAAAAAAAAACACCAAGAAGATAGCACACTTAAATGTAAAACAGAAAAAACAAAACCAAAATGCGCTGTTGAAACAGAAACCACCAATGGGTAACGCTTTATAAATATATATATATATATATATCTATATATATATTTAACTTAGAAGAAGAAGATTATAAATTAGAAATATGTAAAAGCCGGATTTCCAAAATTGATGTGGCAAAGAAAAAAAGCTAAAACGAAAACAGTTTGATGTCCCTTTTCTTGACCAAAACCTGACCCAGAAATAATTTCTTTTGGATATACTTTCTTCTTCTTTCAAAAAGCGAAACCACAAAAACAAAAAAAAACAAAAAACAGAAACGAAGCAAAAATCAAATCAATAGAATTATATCAAATTAGAATGTTTGTAAGTCAAGTATGTGTGTGTTTGCAAACAAAACATTAACCAATAGCATGTAAAACTAAAGAACAGAAAAGCTGGCGAGATAATGTTGTATATGTGTAATACCCACTTGAATTAGATATTAATGTAGCAAGCAAACAAAAAAAACATCGTAGGAAAAATGTGTAATAGTGCAATAAGCTAACAAAAGCCACACCCAAACCCGCCCTACTTCCCCCAATTTAACCCAATTTTTTAGAGAATTTTTATTTTGATCTTGTTCTGGAAAGACACGCATATAAGACATTATCATATAATATGTAGTGATTGCGTAAAACCATACCTTCTCTTGCAAATTAAATTCCTGCCTTAATGCCATTTAAACGGAACAGTAAGAAGATAAAAGGCCCCAAAATTTGATACACCACAAAACAAAAAAGAAGCCTATAAAAATATTTATATACAAGGAATGGTAAAAAAAAGAACGAAAATAGCTTAGAAATAGAAAACACAATTATCACTATAAGGAAAAAAATCTAGCAAAAAGCAACAACACAAAACTGAATGTTATATTTTGGAGCATTTTTTTCAATGTGTATGTGTTAGCATATATATTACATATATATATATCTAGAAAGAAAGTGAAGGACGATTGATAAAAGTATTAGCAAAAGATATCTCTTGAACAATAAAAAAGGACAGAGAGAGATGGAAAGAGCAGGTCGTCTCTTTCTACTCCCCTTAATATTTGAAAGTTTTTTACGTCGGGGCAATGAATATAAAACTATATATCATCTATCTATATATTTGTATACACGAACTAAAATGAGCGTGAAATTTTCCATAGATATTGTAAATACTTTAAAAAGAAAGTGGGAAACTGTCGATGTTTTGTTTTTTATTTGTATCACGGGGGAATTTTTTTTTTAAAGTTTTTTTTAACCAAAGGGACAGCAAATCAAAAAAATTATTTTCACACAAAAGAGTTTTACATGAAAGGATAGAAGCAAACAAATAATCATACAAAATCGAAATCTATAAACTAGAAATATAAATATATATGTGTATGGAACGTCTGTGTAAATGTGTTTGAATGTAAAATGCTTTAGTCAAGTAAGTTGAAAGATAAAATTGAATTAACTATATAGTAATATATGCTTGTGTCTGTAACTCTATTTCTGTTACTAATCATAAAAGAAAATGTACAAAAATAATACAGCAACACACACTTTTGAAGAATTAACCTTAAACTTTAAAGTAGCTTTTATGTTCTTTAATTTATGTTTTTTTTTGTTATTATAACTGAAAAACACTTTTTGAAAATGTTTTTTCTTATTTTTTTTAATTGTCCTTTGTAAGTAGACAAGTAACAAATGATTGAACATAATACTTTTTTTTGAGTAATTTTTACTAAAAAATCAAACAAGGAAAACAGCAAACAACAAAACGATTTCATTTTAGAAATGTAAGCTTAACTTAACTAATTAATAATGTTAAAACAAATTTGTTCTTTAAGTTGAAAACAAATCGGGAGTATTGCAAATTATAATTATCATTAAATTTACAAAAAAAAAACAAAACAAAGGAGAAAACTCAACAAAAAAATTTTATTTATAGAGAAAGCAGACAACAAAAACAAGAAAAGATTATAACAAAAAACAATAAAACAATTTCAAACAAAAAATAAAACGAGAGAAAACCTTTTTTAGCTGTAAATGTAACTTGTAAAATTAATTTTAAACTAAATGCATACAAAAATAAATAAACGACAAAAAAATCAACAAAATCGAAAAAGTATGGCTAGAAATAAAATGCGTAAAAAAAGAATATATATAAAGAATGATATATATATTATATAAATGTAAATGTGTAAAGAAAACAGAAAATGCGACAAAAAAAAATAAAAAAGAGATTTCAAAGCAAAAATATTTAAATGTGTTATTTTCTGGGATTGGGCCAAAGCAGTATTTGTGCTTATGAAAAAAGACAAAATATGGTGGAAGTGGGAACGATTTTAAAATTTTTTTGACAGGGGAACTCGGTTAAACCGCACCGTCCAAATGATGACTTTTTGCACTGAAATGGTCCTTAGCTTACGGTTTTCATATCCTTTCACGATTCCGATCGGGAAATTTGTAAAAGACATTTCCGATTTTACTTGTAATCACGGCCCAAAAGTATGCAAAGCTTTGGCGGTCATCAAACAGAAGCAGCACAAATGCTTCTAAACAATGCATAATCCTTAGACAGTGCTAAACATTTTTTTAAATCAATATCCTGGAAAATATTGCTTAAAAGTTTGGGTTGTCACAGCTCGTTGAATCTGTTACAAAATTTCCAATCAACTGATCTTCACAGAAAATAAATATAATATTTTTCGGTTATAATATTTATGAAAAATATTTTAGCCAAAATTCATACCGCGTTGAATTACATTAAGTACAAATAATTTTGTTTTTATTTCTTATATTTTTCGGTTTATTTCTGAGTCAAGCTAAACGTACACTCTTCAATCGCCATTGTTTTAACTCTCGTAATAATAATTTATGTATATATATTTATTTAAAAAAAATGCGGGTTGTTGCTTGATTTTATGTTGGATATATGCGTGTGTCCGTGGGGAGAAAAATAAATGGTTGAGGGTTTTGTCTGTGACCACGTTTTCGTGTTTTTCACAACAGTTTTCACAGGGGAAAAGAGGGAAATGCTTGATACAACATTTAAACCAACCATTAATTAATTGCATATATAACTTATATATTTAATAATAATAATTATCATAATAATAATAGCTTAAACATTACAATACAGAATGCAGTTTTACAAAAGTAAACAAAGAAGCAAATCAATCGGGAGTTATTGCTAAATATATATTGGATGTGTTTCAGCGTGAAAAATTAACCATTAATAAAAAAAAATCTCCAAAGCTTGTCACAAACGCTAGTTTCCCATTCTTCATTTGTATTTTTTTATATATTCCTACTCATTTGCTTTTGGTTTAGAAAATTACAAAAATTGCATTAAAAATTTCTTTCGATTCACTTCGTTTACAATTAATAATTGGAGATATTTTTTGTTTTCGTTTTCCTTTGCTTTTTCTTCTCTTCTCTAGCATTTTAAGTGTTTTATACTTTAAACTATTTTTAATATATTTAAATATATATTTTTAGATGTATTTATAAAAAGCTTTTCTGTGTGGTTTCTTGTTGGTTTGTGTTGTTTGCATTTCGCTATTAAACTTTAAAATATTACAAAAAAATGTATGCATATGTATAATTAAACAAGAGAAATATCTATAGCATTTATTTAATTGCATAATTATTACTGTTTTCTTTAAGTTTCTAAGATTGGTTATATTTAATAAGTTTAAGCTTTAGTTTTTGTTTAACATTTTATTGTACGGGTGGGGGCAACACAAAAATCGATAATTGAAGAGGAAAAACGAAAACTAAATGACAGAATTTATGTGCTTTTCATTTGATGTTCTTGGGGAAATTGGTTTCCTAAATAATATATTTATGTATATTACAATGCAAGTTAACTTGGAGTACGTGGTGTTTGATTTTTAAGTGTGGCAAATAATTTAGATATTCTCAGCAGTGTTTGTGTGTCCTGGTGTTCTCTAAGTTAATTATATATTAACATATCGTTCTGGTTCTGTTCTCCATCTTTTATATTTTGTGGTTGGTGTTATCCGTGTGGCCGTTGTTGTTTTCCAAGTTGTTGCTGCTGCAGTTTTTTGTTGTTCATCATATGGTTGTTGTCGGTTGTTGTTGTTCATCCTACAGCAGTTGGCAGCAATGAGAATTGGGCTTCGGCGGCTGTTTCACGTCCGTCTGACGTTGTTTTTTACGCGATGAAATATCCCTGATTAGATCATAAAATACCTAGATAAACAAAGTTGGTTTATTAGTTTTATATTATATTTGTAAAAGTGTTCCTTGATATTTGTTTAGGTGGTAGGGTTAAATTATTTTTTTTTATAAATACAGAAATTTTGAAAAGTTGCTAAAACCAAAGTAGAAAAGATCAAAAGAAAAAATATTAATCAGTGTCATAAACTTTCCTTATTCATCAGAGAACAGGGCTTTTCATTACTAATAAAACATGAGTTCCAGAAAAATTAGAGTGCTAAACATTATCCATTAAGTTATATTTTATTAGCTGAAAATCTCCCTGTTCCTTTCGTTTTACTTGTGGTTTTCATACACCAAAAGAAAGTTTGTAAACATTACAACCAAACCGAATTAAATGAAGTCAAAATATCAGGCATATATCTAAAGCAGATTCAACAAAAAATTGAAATGCTTCAAATAACAATCTTGCTTTAGAAAAGTGTTTGTATAAGCGTGTATGTACATTTGTGTGTTTCTTTTTGTGTTAGTGTTAGCGTCAACTGGAAAAAGTTTTTTAGAAAACTCAGAAATTATGTTTAGAAACCCAATGTAAAAGTTCTTAAATTGTAACAAAATCTAAGCTGTCACTAGTTCCTTAACCATTTGAATAATGTTTTCAAACATTTAAAAGTAAAGAACCCCTTACTAGAGCTGGAAAACCATTGATAATAAATATTATTTTAATTGTTAAATTCAATACGTTTTGTTAGTTTAAAACCTACTTTTGATTACCATACGGGCGAGAAAACGTGCCCTGGGGTATTAATATTAAGTTTAAAGCGAAGGCACAGAACAAATTTGGATTATATATATGTACATACTTAATTATATTAAATGTATATCTTGATTCTACATTCGTATAACATTCATCAAATCATAATCGACAACTATTAAATTCCTATCGATGTTTTTCCAGCTCTATCCCAAATGTATCCAGTCTATTGATTAGATTAAAGCTTTCTGGTAAAAGTAAATGCATTTTTTAAATACACTCGTGTTAGGTTTTTGTGTAGTCTTGGCAAAAAAATAAATAAAAATATAATATAATTTAATCCAACAAGCGGAAATTGAAAAAGAATATTATAGTTAAATTATATGATAAATCAACCAAGGTAAAGTTATTAGTAAAAGAGATAGAGAGAGTGCCGAAAGTAATCAAGCTGGGGGTTAAGCAACGAACTAGAGTGTCTACGGGTTAAGTGGGTGTGGTCATATATTCATAGATAGGATACATATTAAATATCGTATTTGGTAGTGGAAGAGTTGTATGCACCTAATGCCTAAAGTAGGGTACACTTAAGTCTCCGCTTCTTGCATCTATCTTTAGCACGCCCGCTCGTGGCTTTCGAATCTTCGGTTTTTCGTGATCTTATTTCGCGCATCAAATCAAAAAATACCTGTAATTGTGGATTGGGAATTAAGTCATATACAGAGTCAGCATCAGAATTAGTAATCGCAAATTTAATATATAAATAATGGATCAAAGATCGAACCAACATAATTACACACACACATTTTTTTTTAGATAGAGCTCTATTAGCTTTTGGCATTTTTCAGTAAAATTATAAAATAAAATATAAAAAACGTATGTGTTAAAAGCCACAACTTTAAAAGCTTGGTAAAATTAGGGTACGATTTTTAGCAGTGCATTTTTTGCTGTAGCTGTGTGTGAATTTTGTGTGTGTATCTTGTGTGTGGTTCGCTTATGTGTATGTGTGCCTGGGGAGATAAATTCATATAATGCACTAAGAGATAAATCGCTCAGAGTTTATTTTAGCTATTCTTCTTTGCAACATTATCTAAAAGCTTAAACTAAAGTTGTTAAATAAAAAGGGGTACTTAAAACTACATTTCTACGAAATGTGCCTACTTATAAAGTGCAATTTAAATGCCCCGAGCTCCCAAGACTTATTAAATTGGCTTCATCAAATTGGCTTTGTCTTTTTTATTTTTGAGATCTGAATAAAGTAAACAGATCCGTTTTAGTTACCTTTTCAGCATTTAATGTTAAATAATCCTAATCAGTGGGTTGCCTATTAAACTTCACCTAAATTTGCATATACCAGTTTCATACAACAACTTTAAATTTAATTGTGGATCCCATTTAAAATATTTGTATACAATATTTTTAATGTTTTTTAAAAGTGAATACATTTGAAAGCTTAAAAGATTTCCGGTTTTCACATATTTCCCATTACAGTATAATTTATCAATAGGTTTTTCCTATGAGTTTTTGCTTCCAGACTTATTTTCTACTTGTTATCTGAACGCCCCCCACTTATCAGTTTCATTTAAAACGCTTGAAATGTTACCCTTGAATTGAGTATACAACTATAAAGACAGATTGTATTTGGAGAGATAAGAACTTGCTTTCAATGGGGAATTAATGTGTACTCTTGTTTGGGATATGAATAACAAAAAAAATTTTCATTTAAACTTACATAAAATTACCGCCATGAGGGAAAGATTTTTTTTAAAAAAAGTGATAGTGTTGATCGACTGGTGTTAAATACCTATCACTCATTTATTAATTATTAATGTCATTTAAAATGCACCAGGGAAGGAAACCATAAATAAAAGCTTCAGTGGGATACTGTTGATTGTTCTAATCACCAACTAGCTCTACACTTTGAGAGTCGAAACAAGTTGATTGGAATGCACACTATAAAATGAGTGTTTTGCTTGCAAGAACGTTCAAAATACACAGTGACGTTTTCGTTTTGTGAGCGAAACAAAGAAAAACAAATCACATTAAATAAACTATGTGGGAAAACTAGTTAAACAAATAAAAACTGTGTGCAGTTTTTGTTTGTTCGAGAAACCTTTAAGCTTGCCAATTTCCAAAAAGAGCTTTCTTCTGCTTTGCAGATGGATAGTAGTTTTTGTATTCTATTGTTTAGGTTGGTGACTCCTCCGGGGGAAAAATAACGATTTTTCCTAGCGGGATCACTACTCACCTTGTCGACATTTTCGCGGGTTTTAGCCGAGGTCTCCACATAGGGCACCGCCCACTGCTGCGCCCTCAACTGGCACTCGCTCAATGGAACTTTGCGTTTGTCGTTCAGATCGCACTTGTTGCCCACCAGCAGGAACGGTATGCTCTCGTCATTCTTCACCCGCAGTATTTGTTCTCTGGCAGATGGAAAATATTTACATTAATATGATATACAGATAACAAATAAACGATTAAAAAGGGCAAACAAGGCAGGAAAACAGAACTGAAAACTCAAGGAAGGAAAAAGATTCGCAGTGAATTTCAAAATCTTCAATGATTCACAGAAATCACTGTTTATAGCTATTATTAAAAGAAATAATAGAAATTGAGTTTTTGTATTAAGAACTAAACAACCTATATTGATTTGTATAATTGAAGTTATCAAAATACCTTTCTATTTAACAGAATTTGTCAAATACATGTTAGATTAGCGAATGTGAAAATGAAAACCTAAGCAGACCTAAAAGATAAAGGCTTATCAGAATAAATGACTCAGTCCGTGTGTCACTCCACTTGAAGCCAGAAGGAAAACAGATATATTTATGTAAACACACTGCAACGGACAGGGGCATGCATAAATGTTAGGGAATAAATAAATATAGGGGGAATAAATCCCAAGCAGGTCCCACCCTGTCGCCAGTCAACGTCCAATAGCTATTTCTCAGTAATATTTATCTGCCTGCAGCTCTATTAAGCTGCCAAGTTTGAATAACTCAATTGGGTCGATGCAAAAAGGGCGGTTTAAGTTGCAGTTATGACAACGATATGGCACACTTAGGGTTGGATTAAAAATAAAGAAGAAAGGCAGTTGATTTATTCACTTGGGCATACTAAATGTTTGAATTATAAAACAGTGCAATTTTATATAGTTTAAAATGCATTTCTGCACAAAATCAAGCAATATGTTTTAACTTGTTTACTTAAATACTATTTTACCATTTCAACATTGTTTTCAACAAGAATAACTGAGTAAAAGATATCCTCAACAAATAAATAGGGGAAGTCGGGAATTTATTACAAAGTAACTCATCAAAAACAAACAAATAAATACATAAAGTGAAAATGTGGAATATAAAAATAAAATACAATGACATCCCAAAACAATCAAGCACCTCCATAGCATTTTTAAACAATTAACTCATGGAAAACTCAGACCAAGAAATGAATAAAGATTTATTGCACATCCTAAAAAAAAGCAAAGGGAAACAACCGAAGAACTTGTGTGACTAATTAGCAGCGCAAAAAAACAAAAAAAAAGAAGATGCAAAAATGTAAACCTGTGTGAGAAATGAAACCGCGACACTTGTCAGCCTGAGACAAACGCAAAACGCGAGACTCTCGAAAGACCTCAGAAAAAATGCTAAAGAGGTGGAGGAATGAGAAAAAGGCGGGGAAAACAAGGAAGAAAATGCACACCAAGAGCCGCTTGACACACTCACCTGAATTCCTGGGTTGCCTGGAAGCTCTCATCATCTGTGATGGAGAAGACACAGAGGAATCCCTCGCCACTGCGAAAGTAATTGTCTCTGATGGCGGCATAATCCTCCTGACCGGCCGTATCCAGTATATCTATTTGTACTTCCTCGCCGTCCAGCACAACCTGTGGGTAATTCATTTAAATGTCAATAAAGGGAGTTAAATCGTTTTAGATTTTCATATTGCAAATTAAAAAAAAAAAACTTTTTAGATTTGGATAGTACTGACAAAGAAACTTGTAATTGATGTACGATTGTTCATATTCCAGGAATTATTCGTACTACAATTCAGAAAACCTTTTGGATTCCGAGTTTTGGGTAAGATCTCTCATAATTATATGACTTTTGATCCCCGGATAATAGTATTGCTCACCTTTTTCCTATAGCTATCGGCCTTGGTGGGCTCGTAGTCCTCGACGAACTCGTCGTACATGAACTGCAATGTGAGGGCGGACTTTCCCACTCCGCCACTGCCCACCATGATGACCTTGTGGAGCGCCGGTCCGGCTGTCGGCTTCTTGCTCATGATGGCGGGATCTGCTCACTCTCGCACTGTCTGCAAATGCGGGAAATAGACAGAAATACACAAATAAATAATTAAATAAATAAATAGGAGCTTCCTGTTTGGATTGTCAGCAAATCCAAAAAATAAATTCTTGTTGTTGTTTTGCCATTTTTTTTTTGGGTGCAGTTTATACATATAAGGTGTGAATGGGTATATGTAAATGGCAAGTTATGAATGGTCAACTGTAAAGGAAACCACGATCGTATTTGTGTTACCCCAAAAAAGATTGGAGCTGTCAAGTTAAACGTCGGCTCACAGGTTTGCTGATTGTTTTTGCCTCGGCTTTTCAGCTTTTCTCGGGGTTACGTAACAAACGACGGCAATAAGAAAAGCCGTCAATGACTAGCCATTGTACTTTTTACACTTTCAATACTCTACCAAGAGGTATTTTCTAGACAATAATATAAAATATTTTTGAAGAATCGATTTTTTCACGTTTTTATGATATTAATTTCAAACGCTCTTTGATAAATAAATTACAACAACTACTTGTAAAGGATAATTAAATAATTAAATTAATTGTGATCAACACTTTAAAAGTTCGTTTGTTAATTAAGATATTAAATAATGTTTTTAATTTAAACTCCAAATGATAATAAATGAAAACATAAGTATTAAAAAACTAAAGGTTTTACCATATTTAATTGTTATTACTTTTATAGTTTTTCTATAAACAACTAGAGTAATTCCATCTTCGACTTTCCAAGTTGTGAATTTTGTGACTCGTTTCTTTTGCGTTGTTCGAGTCGCAAATGAAGCATAAAATGAAAGGTTCATTGAACTATTTACACATGGCGAAGCGAGGCAACAACAACAGCAACATAAAGGCCAACATATAACAGCATAATGCAGACCGGGCCAAAATGACTCTGGGGGGTTTTTTTTTTTGTTTTGCCTGCCGTTTGCAATTAGCCTTTTGTGACCATTCATTCCCCTCTATTCCCGACCCCTTTTTATTCGCTTACTGCGTCATCGATTGCAATAAATTGAGGCATTGTAAACTACGCATTGGGGGAATATATCCCCTATAAATGAGCCAAAATGGGCAAAAAATAAATTGAGGCACACGTGGCCATTTGGCAGTTGGCCAATTTTCATTCAAGAGTTCAAACATTCAAGCTGAAAGTGGGAAATTTAAGCTGTATGTGTTCCCAGCTTAGCTTGGTTATTAATCCGCAACCGAGTCAGGGTTACCAGGGTATTTAAGTTACCAAAATAACCACAAAATTGGATCCATTTAAAAATGACACAATAAAAATATTAACCGCATTGAAATCATTGAAATGCAAACCCCACGAAAAATATTTCCATGGTTGTTACATGAGATAAGTCGGCTGGTTTTTAATGGTTACAAACTAGTTGAACGAATATGTTTGTTTTGAATCACATCTCCCTTAGTTTTAAAATTTGACCAAGGTCAATATAACTATTTTTATTAATAATCTAAAATGGCTTTTGAATAAATTGCCAATCGCTAAGTTTACATTACATGATAGATTTATTAAAAAATTATTTTAAATATTTCTATATGTATGTCTAATGTTTGAAGTACTTTTAAGGCAGAATAGCAAATGTGTTTCCAAACACAGCTAAATTTTTGTTTACAATAAAGTCTTTTTCGAACTCTTATAAAATATTTGTAGAATATCCAAACACTTGTCTAGACTTCAGACAGACAATTTGAAACAGAAAGTGTTTTTTTAAACAAGCTGGTTGCACCACAATAGTTGTGAAAAGATTCCAAATAAACTCCCAAGAAACAAAAGGGTATTCCAAAAATAAGCCGATTCCCTTTATATCTTTTTATTCCGCCTTTTCCCATTTTTTTTTCAGCTGCCTTTCAATTTGACGCGACGGTGGAAAAGTGGAAAATTAAATGGAAAGCGGGCAGCTGCTGCTGTCGAATCAATCCGGAGGCAACAAGTCAGTCAGCCAGCCAAATGAAACAACGGCCAACAATTGCCAGTCAGGCAGCCAGTTGGGCCACCACTGCGTATGAGTAATCAACGTAGAGCTGCACGTCAATCAATTTTTGCTCGAAAGAGATAGCGCAAATAAAAGTCTAAAAAGTGGAGGGAAAAAACTTCCCACACCCATGTTGTTGAGTCAATTGAATTGTCAAGGAGGATTGTTGGCCAATTGCTAACAGCAACACCTGGGAATAGCGGCAGCAAACTTGTTAAATTGCATATTACTCATACGCAACGCTTGACAACGCAAAAACAGTGGAAATACCTGGTGACCAATGAAAAACTGGGGAGTATTTAAGTTCCTAAATACCTCTTCATAATGTTTTAGTTTAATTAAAAGCTTTCACTTTTTAATTGTTAACCAAACTAAAAACAAAAATACATTATTTATTTTAACAATATTTTTTTAAATGAAGGTTTTTTGTTTTTTAAATGTTTTTGTAAATTTTGACACTCTTCTTAAAATACCATAGCTTTTACGAGATCTATAACTTTATCAAATATGTTAAATAGGTTGCAAAATATTTTAAAAACTTCTTTTCTAAGAAATTTTATTGGCAACAATTTGCTTTGCAACTTTTTTAAAGATGCAGAACAATTAGGGGGCACATAAAACGATCATAATAATATTTCCAAAAAACTTTTTACGATCTTGAAGACCGAGTTTCTCCGCAACTGCACTTTTTCTAAAATTAACATTACGGCCAAGATTTTATGGTGCAAAAAGCGGAATGTGCATACCAATCGAATTTATAGTTGAAAGAAAAAAAATAGTAAAGCTGCACATATGCACCTAGGAATTTCTCATTTTCAATTGAAATATTGGCGTTCGATAAAGACTCTTTTTTTTGCAACAAAAAAAAAGTTGACTTGGAAGTTAACCGTCGAGTTAAACGAGATATGGTTCCCAAAGCAAACGGTTACCGGTTATGAAATGTAATTGAAGAACTCGAAGCTATCACATTAAGTGAACTGCTAAGAGCTAATGACAACATACAATCATTTCTTAATAATTTCCCTTGACTTGATCTACTTTTGTTATTTGTTATTCTGAAAATTTTACTTCGTGCATTTGCTATTAGCAAACAAAACATTTTGGCTTTCTTAGCAAAATAACAAAAATTCGTGGTGATTCTGCTGATTAGATTGTTTGCCGATGGGCATTTGGCTGGTGGAAATATATGTGTTTCTTAAACCAAAATCGTAAAAACCAATTTAATTGTTATAATAAAAAGCCAAACAAAGCAGAAATGAATTTTTAGTTTTTAATGGCGACATAAAAGATAATTTTCCCTCTAATTAAGGCGGGCAAAAAATAGAACGGGTTGGAAAATAAAAGTACCAGAGATCTATACACATGTGTGTTCTATACGGAAAACGAAAAATTCAAACAAAATTGTGTTTGGCTCACATGCGTTTTGCGGAAATATCATTTGTTACCTTTTGATGAAAACAATACAACTAAAAGTCATTTCACCTGCCATGACGTCATTGTCTAGTTGTTTATCCTAGTGCCAAACACCACCCCCGCAAAAGCCAGCCAGCTTTGTGCATAAATTAGCCAAAGTTCTTGTTTGCATTTTAAACAAAAACGGAATTTCGTTTCCTTTATTTGGTGTGTCAACATAAACGGTTCTTTCATGTTCATCAAATATTAATTTTAAGACTCGTGCATTCTGTTTTGTTTATTAATTCATCAATAATCTGAAGCGTTCGTTTTGAATAAAACTGGAAAATCATCTGAAGTTAAAATAGATTCAAATTTCATTTATAAATAAGATTTTGTAAACATCAAATATAAGATAAAAACATTACAATAAAAATTCAATAACTTTTATTGCATTTTTTGGTACAGTGAAATATTTGTATATTCTTTTTTATAGATAAATGTTTCTTTACAATTTAAAAAACAAAAAAAAAGACAGCAACGTGTTATTATTTCATTTTTCTATAAGCTCATTAATCATTGTCAGATATTTGTACTTCAAACATTATTTTTCAAACGCTTTCTGCCGTTTTTTTATGTTATTTAAGCTTTTAATTTCGGAAATTTTAAATACTTTCTAGATTTGGCTTAGAAATACAATCATTTTCTTATAAACATTCTTTTAAATATTTGTATTTAAATGTATATTTTCGTTGGTTCTCAATCCGCAATGCATTTAATTTTATAAACAAATTTACTTCAAACGTTTTAAATAATATTTTTCATTCTTGATTCTTTTGAAATCTTAATTTAATCATTTTTCATGTTATGTTTTCAAAAAAATCATAAAATATTAGCTAAACTGGGCATTAATCTTTTAGTAGATCTAAGACTTGTTAGTTTAATTAAGAAAATAAAATTTCCTTTCACCTTTTTTCGCGCGAACGAGCCCACAAACTATAGTACTTTCATCGGCAACAATGTTTGCACTTTTACCCCACAATATATAAACTACCTTTTCCAATTGATACACTTGAAGTGAACTTTTCCCTGGGCCAATTATTTAGTATGAATAATCGAACCGCTTGGCCGATATTTATTTGGTCCCAAGTGATTTTGAACAGACCGAAGAAAACGGCGATCGCGAGAATTTATGAAGTTTTTCCAATTCGCAATTTCTCTGCACATTTTCTATAGTTTGCTACATATATTTTATTATTTTTTTAATCTCCCGGCTCCGTTGGGTGTCCGATTTGTTTATTACTCATATTATGGTTTCGCTTATTTTCCCATTCGATTTCGATTTGAATTTTCCTTTGTTTTTTTCTTTTTGGCTTTTTCATTTATCCCCCCTTTTTTATTATTTTGGTGGTGGATTGCCAATGACGTCAGTTTTCAGCGTCTTCTCCTTTTCGAGTTTAGTTTTTGGTGCCTTTTCATGGTCTTTAGCCACGGTTGCTTTTATTTTTATTATTACAGTGAGCCCTACCCTGGTATGTAAATTTTCGAAATAATGATAGATTTATGTCAAATTTAAATATTTGCTTGACAATAAAAAAATAATAATAATAAATAAAGCTTTAATTCTGCTATAA